TGAATATTTCAGTTCTCAGTGTTTTTTTTTTAATGCTTAGGTTAATATTTTCTATTTATAGTAATAAGCGACTGGTATGAAGATTGTTTAAAACAACTGGATGAGTAAAAGAGCACATTTCAGTCTCTAACATTCAAGTGGTTCCATTTTTGTTCAATTATTTTCAATTACTTTTTCACTTAACAAAATTCATACATTCACTCGGTTACAATGTCTCATCTAATACGGTCATATGCTGTATGAATTTTAAATAACAAAATAGACAACACAGAGTTACATGTAAAGATCAAATTGTCCGCATACAAAAACAGGCTGAAATAATAAAAAGTAAAAATAAAAGGGCATCATGTTGATTTGTAAAAAATTTGCCTTCAACAAGCTCATCATAAGTACCAATTTAATTAATACCTTTCTATTTACTCATTGTTGTTTAAAGATGCCAATCCTTTTTCGCCAATAAAAATAAAATCCACGTGACTTGTAAATTATGTTTGACAGATAATATTGGCAAGTGAACATTTTAAATGTAGTTTAAATGTAAATAAACACAATGAAAAGCACCACTCAATAAATATTCATCAATAAATTAGCTAAATATCTTTCTATTTTCTCATCACAAATTGTTTATTAATAAGTGGATGGGGTGATTGGCGCCGCCGTCTAAGGAAATTTATGAGTAGTTTCGATGAATGCGAGATGATTTTCATGATCATTCACAAGTTATTAATCATTTTGTCGGACACCGAGTAGTTTTGTTCACTTGTGAGAATTTTTTATAAATTATAATTGTAAAATGATCATAGAAAATGACCTAATTTCTATTTAATAAATAGATCACACTCTTTGCTTGTATTTATTGTTTACTGTTTCAATAAAATTCAATGTCCTTACCAATTTCGGAAAGGAATGTCAACTTTGCGCGGCGCATACATTTATCCATACTATTCAAACTTTCGGACAGCTAGAATATGTTTGGTTAAGGGTGTTGAGTACAATATTGGTGTCTTTAACTAATGATGAATGTCTCATCAATGTACATCCTAACAGGATAGTTTGTGAGAGAGACGCAATTTTGTTGACATTTTATTATAGATGCGTACAAATGAACAAAAAACAAAATGATTTTACAACATAATTAAACATGACAGTTCTTATGAATTTGAATGTCATGGGAAACCATCTTTTATTCATATATATATATATATGAACAGAGCAAAATTCAAGAAAACGGAAATAAAATATTTCAAAATCAATAAAAATATAAGTCGTTGATGAAAGGAGTAGTTGGAAAAAAAGAGAAAGATTGGCAGTGTATACATTGAATTTAAAGAAATAAGAATAAGTTCTTTCAGAAAAACAAATTGGCAGTCAGAAAAAGTTGAATGAAAACTGCATAGATTATTAGTTTATTTAAACAAATAGTGGGAATAATCTGAAACTTCAGTTATTTTGATGGCTGTACAAGTTATCTATTGCAACATTTAACCTACGGTTTTTTTGAAGTGTACTTAGCTTTAAATGTATATAGACAAACAGCTTTGTGAGTTTTTCAAGTAAGTGACATGAAGATTGCTGCGAAAATACATTCATTATGCTTGGTCAGCGTATTAGAACTTGGATAATGACTGGATTCTTTGCATGTATTTTCAATTATGATTAAAGTAACATTTGTAAGGTAAATTTGAAACGAGTTAGGCTGATTAGTCAATGATAACAGAGACTGTTACATAACCGCAAATAAATGACCTAAATGGTAAATTTATAGGTGTAAAGATTTTGCGGTTTGCATTCACTTTCCATGAATTTGAACATTATAAAAAGCTTATCTAATCGTACATAGATAGTAAAACTTAACGTCAATATTATCGAAGAAAATGCAATCCTAAGTAAACTTAACATCCACTGTAAACTGATGTAATCATTAACTTACAGAATTAAACAAAGATAACATGAAAATTAAATAAAATTTAGTTAAATTAAAGCACAAACGTGAATTTAATTGAATTTAATCTTCTAAAGACAAAATAATCTTTCACTTAAAACATCCGTAGACATCCTCTTATAATAACCCTTTTAACAAATTTTTTTAATATTTTAAAGTAATAAAATCAAGTCAAGTGAATCAGTAACCAACTCCAGAAATTTTATCGAAATCATGAACTGCCCAATGTTGGACCACAATCGAGAATATGAAATCTCTAGTTCACTGTTTTGTCCTTATATTGGACTGATCAACAGTACGCTGCTACCTTGATAGGGTGGCCGGGCTCGCCTATAGTGATGACCCAACCAAGCTATACTGGGTGAAACACATGTTCCTGTAGGTCCTACCATGCCATGCAGGTCGATTGGAGAATGATGCGACTAAAAGCAGCTACTCAAGGTCTGTGGGTGAAGTCGTACAGCCGACTGCACAGATGTGTGAGAGCAGTAAGGTGTTTCCCTTGGACAACCAGCATCTTCAGTGATGCTGCTTTCTCACAAGGAGAAAGTGGTTAGAAAGATCGACCCTAAGAATGTCACACCTCACTTTACCTCACTGATTTACGTCTCCGATGGTTAGGTCACTTAAAAAGCGGAGCTAACGTTTTAAAAGCCGTGCGTGATCGGCCTCAAGCAGTTGTCCCTTGGACTATGCGTTCACGCTCACAGACCTCTAAGACCAACACTAAATAAATATCTATTTCAGGTTCCTCAAGAAATACCCTTTCACTGTGTGAGCGGCCGGGAGGTGATATTTGCCCTCAATTCCGTTACAGGGATTGACTTAATTAGTCACGGTCAAATTCTTCCTACACACCCACCACGACTCACCCTTCTCACATTCCTTTATCACACTGCACCGCTAACGCAAACGATTTGAGTTTATGAAACGATATCCATGGTTTCCTCAAAACCCCTTCTAAAACACATTTTAAAGTTTTCAACTTCCGAACATTGTGTCGAATAGGACAACAGGCTTCCTTAGCTAGGACTTTACGATCTCGATCCATCGATATATGCTGCGTCTCGGAAACGTGCATACAGGATCCGAGTAGGATCATTCATTTGACCTCACCATGCCGAAATAAAGAAACAGTTCGATTTACTCTTCATGTATCTGGAAGCCCTGCTGCTGCTTCCCGTGGCATCGCTGGTTTAGGAATAGCATTGAGTCCTTGGGCAGAACTGGCTCTCTTAGAATGCACTTCGGTGGACAGTCGCTTATGTGCTGTCTGATTAAACGGGTCGGTACAGACTCCAAAGATAGGGAAACTCGCCGCAGTCTTTTTGCTTTGTCCGCTCATGCTCCCACTGAATGCAGTTTAGACAGCTATGCTCAGATAACTGCCTGTTTCTAGATAACACTAACTTTAAGCATGAGGAAAAACATCCCTTGACATGGCGACACCCAAAGCCGACCCAACGAGCGGCAAAATTTGATCACGTCGCTACCAGTTATCGATGACCAGGCTCTATTGAAGAATACCGCTCACTCTGGTGCACTTGTTTAGATTCAGACCATGTTCTAGTGCGAGCGCGTATTTGTTTGCGACTTACAAGACGTAGGAAAGACACCGCAATGAAACCTCTTGAGGCTTTATTTAATGATAAGCTAAGAATATATTTCAGCAGCAACTATAAAACAGTTAGAAAGCCATGTAGAATGTGATGCCCACTGTGTGGCAGCTTTGAATGATATTCAAAAAGCTGTGGAAACAGCAGGGATATCTGTTAGTAAGGTAAACCAAAAGGTGATAGAGTTGTACTTGCATCTCAGTAGCATCCACCGAATTGATGGATGCTTGGAAACTTATCCCACCTGGCTCTGAACATAACGATTGGCAGAGTCAGCTTAAGCGCAGGCTGATAAGAAGCTTACGCAATGATCGCGAACAGTGGTGGGTAGCGAAAGCAAGAGCGATAGAAATCGTAGCGGCGATATATAACAGCAGACAGTTGTTCCGACTTATCAATGAAACCGGTATTAGGAACTTGGCTGTGAAACTATCTCGGAAAGGATGGGCTTATTATTCATTCTCAGTCCAGGAGACTGGAACGATGGGCAGAGCTCTATAGTGATAAATTCACTTAGTCTTCAGCTACTTTTCGTCTGCCCATGATCTCCAGTCAGTCTAATTGGCGAATCGAAATAAGTCTTTATGAAGTTGGGAAAGCCATAGGAAATCTAAAACGAGGGGAGCAGCGGGTCCCGATAGAATGACCCCTGAGAATTCTAGGGATGGAGAACAAGTTCTGGCAGTTAGTTTGGCTGAGATCTTAGGTAGATTTTGGGAACTGGATGTTATCCAATCTGACTGGCCCCAATCGCTAATTTTTCCGGTCTACAAAAAAAGACAGAAGTCCTCTTGTGCTTTTAGAGATAACATTATCTTCGACTGACCTTTCAGGGGTGGATCTTGCTACCGGGAGACTTGCTTGTGGACTTAGAATATGCTAATAATAAATGCATCCACTGTTTTTGTTCTTTGAAGTTCCAATCTTGAGTATTCCTCATTACGTTCATCTTTCTCTTCCTAAGTTTATTTCACCAGATTCTACTTCTTGAATAATATCTTGGAACCCTAATCTCTCCGATTACTCCTAATACTTCTACTACCTCTACTACTATGTGATTTGAATTGACAATAGAGTCTCTGTGCTAATGTTACATGGCAACATGAAGTTATGTACATACGTACGAATTTCTACGTTGTAACCGACTGACTGACTCACTTATGCGTTATTATGTGCTCACTAGTGACTTGCTTCGTGAGAGAATTTCAGGAGTTCGAGTCAGGTTTCCAATGGATGAATTCAGTCAAAATAAACAATCTCCACAACCCTGTACCACAGAAGTATTTTTTTTATTAAGCTTATGAAATACGTAAATACGATCATTTTGACAAAAAAACATATTATTTAATGGTAATTTAATGATATATGTTTTAAAGAATTGTTATTCACAGATTACCATAAAAATTCCATACTTGATAACAAAAATATCTCACTACACTTACTGTTTATTTATTGATTTCCTTAATGCCTCCGGATGTTTGCATGAAATTAAACGTGATCTGTTTGATGAAAAAAAAACAAGAAGAGGAAATTTTTATGAGAAAGGAGTGTACAGTAAACGAAATAATAAAAAATCTCTAAAAATGTGATGATAAATATTAAACTGGGATAATCAATTCCTACCAATTATCACTAACGGCTGTGTTATTGATATACTAAAACACTGAAATAGTTTTTTTTTTACATGTTACTGTACCCAGTTATTTGATTGTATAGTGTTAGTCAATAAATTTCCTAGCTTAACTATAAAAATAATGAAGATCTTTTTCAAATGATATGAAAATAGGTTTTTTACTGCTTGCTTGTGAGTGACAGCTTTTTCACCAGGTTTGAATACATACAAACTTTTAAACAAATATAAATGCATAGGAATAAAAGATTGAGCAAATATCTAAATATTTCACTCTGGTGTAGGTAAATGTTGCCGATGAATTCCAAGCTGAACGGCACACATACACACCTCTTGAATTCCATTGTGAACTATAATTTAAAGGAACTAAAAATTGTGACAAAATGGCTTTATAAAGAGACTTCAGGTTAGGATCTATGTACGCCAACAACGGCTGATTGCATACAATGAGAACATGCAGTAATTCGTTCACAATAATACAAATTTGTAATCAATCAGTAATGTATGTTTTCTACAACAACAATATTCAACCTTATTGCATTGTGAACAGTTACTTTTCAGTAGAGCTGATATGGATAAAGAAATTATTTATTCACAACAGTTGTTATCATGTTCGTAACTGTAATTATTAATCTAGATTTAGTATATATATATATATCCTTATGAACAAAGAATTGAAAGCAATGAGAATTTGACCAACAGGAAGTGATGAAATGAAAACGAGAGTCCTTGAAATAGTCATCACTATAGAAAAATTCATTAACCCTAACCCAACAAGTAGAGTTATCGGAATTCATCAATGTAAAGCTTAACACTGCATCAGTAACCAACAACACCAAGCATCATACACATCCACTCACATCATATATATATATATATATATATATATATATATATATATATATATATATATATATATATATACATAAATGTGCATTCCAAATTCGTCACTTAGCAATAAATATTTTTTCGTTCTGTCCTCGTTTGTTTTTTTTAGGCAAAGAAGAAACAAAACAACTGTTAGTATAAACATTAGGAAAAAAGAAAAAGGAAAGAGGGAAATAGAGTTCTATGCAGTAGTAGTAGTAGGCTAGTAAGCTTTCACTATCCTATTTTTCCAATTTGTTTCTTTGTCATCCATTAATTGTTTACAGGTAATTGTTTACTTTTAAAAAAGCCTACCTTCTACTAATGTCCCCCCATATTTTGTCTCTTTACGGTCTTAATCTGATCGTTTCACTTTGTAATTAACTGATACTGAGGGGATGAACAATAAACAATACAGCGATAGCAGCAATAACATACAATATTATTATATGCTCTTATGAACGAACATGGGATACATAATGTAAGTAAGCTGTGAAACAAAGTTATTTACACATTTATTATCGTCATACATTTTGTTGGATAAAATATGCCTATACATAGATAAACTGTTTATTCTTCATTTGGCTATCTGTTCATTGTTTTATTTTGTTTTGTTTCGTATTTTTTTGTGTGTTTAATTCTATTCAATTTAGTTTTCATTTCTTGTTTATGGTAGAGTTTGGGGTAATAAATGGCAATCAGATAAAAATTGATTTAATGGGAAGTAGTGAAAGGGGGAGGATGTAATAAAATTATTTTTTTGTAGTGAAATTTCCCTTGTTTTTTTTCTTTACAGAAGTTACTCTCGTTGCTATGTTAGCAATTAGTTTTTTTTAATTATCTTATTTCTACAGATACGAAAAAAAAATAAACGAACTAGTTTTGCACACCGGATGCAGATGAACAGTCAACAATGGCGAATGTGAAAATAAAAGTTTTCGGTTCAAAGTTGCTGAGAATATTTAACAGTGAAACTTACAAACAATTCCATTTTTCGGTGAATTCATCCAATTTTGAAATTAAGCTTTGCACGGTTTTAATCGTGATCTAATATTAGCTAAACCACTGACGAAAATTTCAAAGCACTGAAAGGCACATTTCGTCTTCGGACAGAATTCCTCTGCAATGCATATCGACGAGTTTGAATCCGAGAGTCGAATACCAAACACTATTTCAGGCGCACAAACACCTAACCTATAGACCACTGAGCCGCCATCCAGCAGTGTCTAACTTCAATCAGTCCATGATTATTTGTAACTCTTATTCATAACTGGTTATGAATAACTGTCTTATCGTCGATACGGATCGAAAATTACTGTCCATGACTTTGCAAAGAGACTCAAGGAGTAACATGATTATTAGTAATATAACGGGTTTGTAATGATTACCAATCGAAAATCTGCAAACTAATATTCAATATACTATTCAAAATCGATGATTTTGTCTTGAATATGTAGTTTCTCATTCATTTTGTACCAGAACTTATTTCAAAACGGTGACTGCTTAAATATTTATATCTCAAAGGATGTTTTTCATAGCTACTACACTATAGCACACATTTAATGGATACATTGTTTTCACAGTATTTATTCAGTTGACATTGGATTATTTATAATAGGTAGGATAAAAAAATTTTATAAGGCTAAATAATTCCTAAAGTGGTTTAAATTATAACGGAAATTAAACGGGTGTTTATAAGTAGAAACAATCCTTACACTACTTATATAACAGGAACAGGAACATTTTCAAATTCAAGGTAATCAATGTTAAGTAGGTACAGACATTTTTTTAATATCTATAAATCATCTATATAGTTAGGAAAATATTATTCATGCCTGTTTCGTTTTTGAAAAATCAATTAACTAGGAATAATATAACAGGAAATTAAATTTAAAAAAATATAAGTTGAAAGTATGCCTTATCTGCCTATATTATATATGATGTTTATTGGTGTGTTACATTTTTTTTCACGGGTCATCAATCTCTCAATCATTAATAAGTATCAATAATTCATGTACATAGAATAAATAATGTTAACTTTGAATTGACAACAACATGTGATTTGTAATTTATATCTGATTTTGAACAGATTAACAAAATTTCTAATCAATATCTGGAAATAATAAAGTTAACAAAATAGTTTACTGACATTTAGAAACATGTTTTGAAGAGAATTTAGAGGAATAGATTAAAAACTGTCAGATGGGAAGAAAACATTCATTCCGATCAGTCAAGGATGATGATTAATATTCAAGAGGAATTCTCGTAATCTATATTTAATGTCAAAAATGTTAAAATACTTTACAAAACTTGATTTCTCTTCCCATAAATTGTTATTAGTATTAGGCAGGAACAATTGATGTAACATGTAATTACCTTGATAATCAAATGTTAGAGATTGTGATTATCGTAAACCATATTTCAGATCATACTGACAGTTCATGCATTTTCTTTATTTCTATAACTTCAAAAGTTACCGTATTTAGTATTTATTTAAAAAAAATGAAAATATTCACAGAAATGTCTGTGCAACAATAAAAACAATTCTAGAACTTCTTAAGTTCTTCAAACTTCCGCTACACAATGAATCACATGCATTCGTGATAATGTATGATTATTCATGTATGCATATATTCATCTCAACTCCACCTGTAGAACCTTCGGGGCTACTGCCGGTCCCAAGCCCGGATAAAGGAGGAGGGTTGAGCATGGGGTTGTCGACCCCATCCCACCAAAAAAACCAACTTGCCAAGAAAATGATAACCAGAAAAAATAAAATCAATAAATCAAACCATAGACTCATTTCACAGAAATTCTAGACATACAAATAGATTACGTGTGTTGCATCCACCAGTTGTGTAGGTTTTAGAAATCATTGGTTCATAGAAATTATTTTAAAAAATTTCAACTTTATCAGGCTTATCAACACTAATCATCTTGTTTGTTCTATTTAGTTGTAGTTTTGAATGAAAAATGTCTCATTCAATTTATAATTGAACTGCTTGAACGCGAAATTAATTAAACTCAACCATTGATTACCAGGCTTTGATTATAAGTTGATATTTTTATGTGATGTACAGTTTATTCAATATCATTACTACTACTCTGTACTACAAAACTTTAGATAAACAAACTTACAGTTTGTAAACTGTTTTTCTTACTCTTGTATATTCATGAGACTAATATTGTACAAAATGAGGAAATAAGACAAATTATTTTCATCGGTTAATTAAAATAACTGTTATCAAACAAAACGCTTTATTTTATTTTATTCAATCAAGTAATGTAATCAGTAGGAAGTCAGTATTTAACATGACAAACAAGAGTTAAATAATAATGATTGTTACATTCATTAATCAGCAGACGACATATTCATATAATCATCATAATAATAATAAGGTTAATAATTTTGAACATAGTATTGCTTTTCTTTATTTGATCTTTTCTTTTCGATAACCATAATTAATGGAAAAAATAACCACACAAATGTACAGCTGGACAGATGAACAGATATCTATGAATAAATAAAGAGCTTTAAAACACTAGGAACTCGTTTTCCTAAAGGTTTATTTTGTTGTGAAATTTATGCGTACGTGCGTTGATGTGCTGTGAGGATATCATTGATGGAATGGTAAGTGCTTCGAGTTTTTTTTGCCGACGTCTCATTTTCTAAATATTATCAAAAATCACAGAGGATGAAGTGAAAAACTTATTTTTGGATAAAAAGAATTGAGATTGAATTGTAGACATGATTATAGCTGATAATTAGAGAATGATCTCATGTGATTAGGAAATAACGATCTTTCAAGACAGTGTTTATCAATACTTAGTAATTTACACTTACATAAATATACTTACATAACGAAAAACATGATTCAGTATTCCTCTGCGACAGGAGTTTCAGTTTTGACCTTATACGAAAAACAAATCGAGAATCAGGGAACCATCGAAACGAAGGATTATTTAAAAAGTTTATTTTCTTCTGGGCAAGTTGAATTAATT